CCTCAGTTGCAACTTTTGGCTTGATATCAAGTCGATGAAACAAATTGAGACCACGTATGTGGTGCCTCAGTTGCAACTTTTGGCTTGATATCAAGTTGATGAAACAAATTGAGACCACGTATGTGTCATCTACGTTCAAGATCATAATAAACTGGATGAGGCCCGTGAAAGGAACATCAATACGATCGTTTTGATACTCCGTGTTTAAGCTGTCAAACAAAGGATGAAAAACCTTCCAAGCCACTAAAGGATTGGAAATAACCGTCGATTAAGAAGACCAAAAGGTTGAGGAAACTGTAATGTAGTACATTTGACGTCAAGTGCCCCCTTAAAATCATTTTGTTTTCTGTGAACCGTTGAAATTGAACATTAATTGTCACGATTCTTTGATGAACATTTTTAATACCCGTGAAACGTGCGAGGCAGTTTCCCTCACTTCACTTCTGTAGATTTCGGCCCGCGACAAAAATTGTTCATTGTTATCAGTCACTGCTTTTAGGGAGGTACTTAGAATATCGTTGAAATAGTTGTCTCCGACAAGAGTAAATGCTTATTGCTTACCTAAATTAAGCGTAAAAAGGTTATTAAAACGTGCCTTTGTGAGATTGAATGTTTCAGTAGCGTGAATAAGCTGGATGAAACGGCAATTTCAGTCAAATGCCAAGATACGTGCCTCAGTATAAAGCCAATTTCACGGCCCCTCAAAAGGTCACAAAGGTGTTCTTACACAACGTTCCGAAGAAATTAGTTCGTACATCATAAGATCTTTCAACAAAGGCCTAACAAACTGAATGTGTAATCTATGTTCAAGATAGACGAGTTAACAACCTACCTTGTACTGTTTCTTTCAGCAAGAAGTGTAAGAAGATTCGTCTTTGAATCAAACCCGATGCGCGTCAATTTTCTTCCTGAAATACGCAGTCGGCTTAACTCCAGTGTTTCAATATAGAGCATTACAATCACGTAACTTTGAATAAAAATTCGTAGCATCGATGAGATCTTCCGTCAATTGGTGGAACAATAGCACCTAGAATCATCAGAAAAATGCCGATAATCAGCCATAATTCTACAGAAAATACAGTTACTACATCATGTAAAGCTAGCTCTCAGTTGTGTAGTTACATCGTCCTCATCAGCCATTTTTACCAACCAATCCGCAAACACTAGAATGCCTTACTGACCTGTTGTCTTGGTTGCTGATATATTAACTTTATTGGCAGGTTGATTTGGGAGTTATTACATTGGAAAAATTTGCTCCCAACTTGCCGTGGAATTTTGAACTTTGATAAGGTCGTACACTGCAGTATACGCGTAAAACGATTAACTGGCTGTCTTCCCTCAAGTGTTTTGACTCTTCAAAATGCCATTCAATTGCTTTTATCCTTTCAGTTCTATGTTCTTTTTACCCGCTTCCGTACACCTTTTTGTAAGTTGCTTGGGAGAAATTTCTATTTCATCAAGTTATATTCGGAAAGGATTATTCAGTTACTTCAGTAGTCTCGTGAACTGTCTCCTTGACAAAGTACATTCGTTGCGAAAGGAAAGAATATAACGTAATCTCTCCTTCAAGCAGGCGTGAATAAGACAACATCTAATTCTCAATGATACATGGCGGTGATTTTCTCCCGATGATAGCTTTACCTATTCAGTCGACTGTCATTCGTGACTCTAAATATAAAGCAGACAAGCAGAAATGCATGATACTCCTCAAAGGTTAGCAATTTTAGGGCTCACTCATCCATTTAGTCGCCGGATAAAGGTGTAAAGTGATCGGAGTATTGACCTCATGTCATGAGGCAGATCATATGGCTAAGAAGAAGTTATTTTTCCTGTTATCGTAACAGCGAGTTTTGTTAGCACTCCAAATGGCGGCGGTAAATGCGCAAGTACCCGAGATGAGGTGAGTGACGAACTCTATAAGAAAAACAATTGTTGCAGAAAATATTCAGATAAAGATGCCTGAATAAGCTCTGATTTTAATCGATAACCAGGTTATGTTGGGGAGACGGTCAATCTAGTGTCCTGAATCGATCACGACAAATGATTATAGAATAAACGAATACCTCCGCTCTTCAGAGCTACCGAGATGAGTGGTCAACGGTCAGTGATAGTAAAAGTTTCGGCTACGAAGGTTTGAGTAGCATCTTAGATTTGGTATCAGAAGGACATTACTATCCCTTAGGAACCTTCGACTTACAAAACAGGAAAGTATAGCCGCTTGAGATGAATCAATAACACCAAACTCCTACAGTCAAATGAGATTTTAAGGATTGGAGAAGTATTTTCCTTCTTTTTGATCTATTTCATTTCTCGACCAGCTATCCAGTTCTGCGAATTGACGCCGGTCAATGTATTTCTATACAAATGAATGAAGTGAATGCTTGTTTTATTGTCATTCCTCTCTGACGTGCGTTGTTAACCCGATTAAAGAAAACCTACAAACAGACATAAAAACATAGCAACTGTATAGTAACCTTTGACGAAACATGTGGCAATAGGAGAGACCTAATCCAAGAACCCCTATCAGTTGTATCCAAAAGTTTAATTTTACTAAATCTAGGACACTTTTATCAGAACAAGACTTTTGACGACGAAACAAAAATTTGCTACTGAAGCAAATTAATGAATATGATCGCAAGGCCTATGCGAAGGAATTTAATTTTCAAGTGACTAATTAAACGCGGAATTCGGAAACCACAGCAACCACACTCAAAATACCAAGTTTCCATCAGCCTTCTCCCTTTTTATCCTTTTATTCTTAGCCATGATGTAAATCGTCCGCTTCTCTTACTCTAAACGCAGCGAGGCATGATGCACACTGAAGCGTCTACGAGGAGCCATGCTGTGATCAAATACTAATCGAATTTTTCTGTTTGTATGCTGGGGAAGTGTGCTTGTCTTAATTTATAATTTGATTTAAGCTAGGCGCATTTCATGGCCGACGTGCTAAACTACCTCGCCTCGCTGATTATCCATTTCTCGGTTCTAATCAAACAGTAGACCTTCAGAAAATTGTAACAGCCCTTGTGTTTACACTCTTCGTCCGTTCACAGGTGGACAGTTCTTCACCTTCATCTTTTATGTTACTGACCATCGATCGATATTAGCTTTCGTGATATCTAAAAAGCTACAAGTATCCTTGGGACTGACCTCGTTGCCATGACGGTAGCACCCCTTTGTTCTCAACTGGCTTACATTCTCATCCCATTTCTTCTCCGTTTGTTTTGTTTTGTATTTTTTTTGTTTTTGTTTTTTTTTTGTATTTTTTTTGTTTTTTTTTTTTGTTTTGTAGTGTTTTTATTTGTGGCATATTTATTTGTTTTCTTTACGCGCCTTCTGAATAAACTTCACAGTCCTTACGTTTCACTATCTCAGAGAGTTCATGAATGATTTGTCCAATGTTTTCCCACGATCACCTAGACCACCTACAATTTATTTTGGAACAACCTTAAGATAACGCTGAGGTAATTACATACAGGTCTTTGTTAATGCCTTGTAAGCTGTAAAGTCGGATGTCTTGTTTAACTTATATATTTCGTTTCCCTTAGGTTATTTTAAGCAAGTTAAAGGCTCGGAAATTATCGCAGTTTGACTAAATTCAAAGGCGATCTTGTTGAGAAGATGGATACAACAGTGTCAAGCAGTGAAGGTTCTCAGACCTTTTAATTCACACAACACTATCAATGTAACTACTGCTCTTTCCACGTCGAAGGTTGTTGTGATAGTTATGACAACAAAAGGAACCGGGGCCCGTTTTTTGAAAGTCCCAGTGGCTTAACGGGCCCGGAGCCGTATTCTAAATTTACCATTTTAAGAATAGAGAAGTACGTTCTGGCATCCCAACCAGCTCATTTTGTTTTTCTAGCTGGTAGTTTTATTGTATAACTTTCAGAACTTTTTAAACTCTCATCTTAAATGAAAACAGGAAAGCCTTTCGGGCCCGTCAATTTACTGGGACCCTCGAGAAACGGGCCATAGTTTATCGCGCTGGACGGACGGGGGAATGGGGGTGCGGAGGAACTTGTCACGATATAATTCACTTGATACCCCACCTAAGGCTATGTAATATTCTTATAATCCTCCGCTCATTGGCACTTAATTAGCAGTCAATTTTCTGTGTCCCTCTTTATACTCTGTTGACCCCGACTGTTCCCCTCCGTTCTCTTGAAAAAGCCATACACTCCCCCAAAAATCTTCCATACCTCATTCCCGATAAATCATAGCGACTGGTCCCTTTGTTAATTTTATCCGGGTCGCTTCTTTGTAACTCAATAGTGTACGCTAAAGTTTCTACTATTTGTTAATTGGACATATACTTATTTCGTAGACACTTCAAGTGGTATACAGTATGGACATGCAACTGTCACTTCAAGCCACATGATGTTAATATGTGATGACGTAGGCGCATCCTGGAGAGACCTGGGTACTCAGTTGAGGCTTCCATCGGCTGTGGTTCGTAATGTTGAGAATGATTACACCAAATGTCGAGAAAGGGCGTGGCAAGTCCTTGACAGATGGAAACAGAGAAACGGAACAGGAGCAACTTTAGGAAATCTTACCGATGCTCTGGAGAAGATAGGGAAGCGAAATGCCGCTCAAAGGCTGGTTGGTATGCGATTCCCCGTTTCCAGGGAAACTCATTCATTTCCATATCTATTCTTTTGAGTTGGAAGAGAGGATCAAACGGATACTATCATAGCAATATCATGAGGTCCCATTTCCTATTGACGCTTTTCAGGTAGTTTAAACATAGTTTGCCTAGGTAAGAAAGGATTATTGAGATGGCAAGAATCTCGAAGTAACTAAAATGATTTATATTCGGTGGAAGGCAATTGCTTCTACGGTCTATTAACTTGTCAACGTGCAATTTCTATGAGGCTGAAACATTGCAGTTCCTGTTTAGAGCCTCTTTAGTCAAAATTTAACTATTTTACCACTAGCTATAGATTTTTTGTTAAGAACCTGTAAATCTAATCAAGCGGTTTAACATCAAATGCTACTGTTTTGATTTTATTTCAAAAGAAACAGAGAAAGTGGAGGCAGGGTTAAATTGCGCCCGAGTTCAAAGTTCAAAATTACGAAGGGAAGTTGACCTTTTGAGGACAGGTCTACAGAACGAGAAAAAGAAACAGGACACCACAATCAAAGAACTCCGAGAATTTACCAAAAGCCTGCAAGAAATGCTCACAGAAAAGGGTGAAGATGAGAGACAACACATAGAAACAAGGGTCCAAGGCTTAGAAACCACAATTAAACGGCTGGAAACGTACCTTTCGACTGAAAAAAACGCCGACAACGAAGTTCTGATGCAGGAAACGACCCGCTTGGGAAAAATCTGCGACCAAATGGAAGAGGGTCTACGGGTTGTGCAAGAGAACATCAAAATGATCTCTGAAAACCAGAAGGAACTCTCAGGAAAGTCATTAGAACCCGACAACAATGCATCGGAGGATTCAACCGAGAGGCGTTTAAGTGCAAGACAGCGGGGCCAGAAAGACGCCGGGCAAAGATATGGGGACAGGCAAAAAAACGAGGGAGCAACGATACAACTTTTGTATGAAGGTAAGTATGAACTACATAGGTTCCTGTAAACAACGTTGCATAAGTGTACTGAACGTATTAACTGACACTGGACTATGGATAGTTATTAATAAAAAAAAAAGTAAGGGAAAACATTTCTCATGCCATTTGTCGGTAGAGTTGTGCTATAATTGGGTGTTGGTGTGTTTATTTACAGGCAGCCAGGCATGTTTGCGATGTCCTGATTTGGAAAAGGAACTCAACGATATAAAGACAAAAAGAGAAACAATAAAAAACAAAATCAGCCAATTAGAGCTCAAGCACAAAGAAGATAAGAAGAAATGGGACGAAGATAAAAAAGAAAAGGATAAGAAAATCAAAGAAAACGAGCTTGAGATTGGCAACTTAAAGAAAACGACCGAAAAACAGCAGAAGCAAAAAGAAAGACTCTCCAAAAAGAAAGCTGAAATGGAGAAAAAGAAAAATGAAGTCATGGAAGAAAATAAGAAAATCATGGCACGGATTGACAGGTTATTGGCCGAGAAGGAAGAGCTGGAAAAGGCGTTACAAGTTCAAACCGGTGCAAAAGAACAGGAACGACTAAAAGCTGAAAACGGTATGTTGCTGACTAGAATTGAACAGCTCACCAAAAAAATGAACAACAGTGAGCTGGAGTGCAAGAGGCTTCACGAGGAGCTTAAGAAGTACATCAACTTCGAAAGTCGTAAGTACATGTTCACGAGCTAGTTGTCAAAGACGAAAAACTCTTCCACAGGAGACCAATGCCTTTCAATCGATTGTCTGTCAGTTTTAAGCTAGAAGGGTTCAATTCTTCGTTATTACTTATACCACAGTATGCTATGCCTCTGTGGTGGTCATCACTTAATTCTCGGTTTAGAAAATGTATGTTTGAACGAAATTTATGGAAAGACGAGGTGTCAGAGGGACTGATGGACAGATGGATGGATGAATGATTTAATAAACTGATGAATGAAGGAATAAATGGAGAAATGGAAAGAGGAGTGGAAGGCTAAGTAGATTTAAAGAGGGATAGAACGATGGTTGATGTAGAGATTTTGGACCGATAGATGATGGATAGACCAATGGATGAACTGATGGATGGATGTAGAGATGGATGTACCGATAGATGAATGGACCGATGGATGGAAAGATGAATGGTGGATGGAGGAATGGATGAATAGATGAATGGTTGAAGGGGTGAATTACTGAATGGATGAATGGGTGGAAGGATGACTGTAGGAATGGATGAGTGGATGGATGGAAATAGGAGATGGATGGAACGATGAATGAATGGATGGATGGATGAATGAATGGACGGATGGATTGAGGAATGAATGCAAATTTAACATTGCTCTTGATAATTGATTAGACAGGTGACTGTTTTATAAGTGACTATATTGGTTACATGGCTTTTCTATTCTTTTGTTAACTTACCTTTCTTTTGTGCTTCCCATTAGGAGTGTTCTTACCTACTGGAAAGGAGTTTGCCACAAACTGCCCTGGTGTTATATGCAGTTTGAAGAGAGATGCTTCATCAAAACTTCTTGCTTCTAGGTCTTCTGATGGGCCAGGAAAAGCAAGCGACATATTTGACCATCAAAAAGGAACTACGAGTGGAACAGAAGAGAGGAAAGATTCATGGTGGTCCATCGATCTGGGCTCATGCCATCGGCTTGTCATCACACACTACTCTTTGAGACACGGCAAAAGAGATGGAGAGTCAGTCCTTACCCATTGGCAACTGGAGGGATCCAATGATGGAATGAACTGGACAAAACTTGAAACTAATTATAAAAAGGTAGATCCACCCCGCTTCAGAGATCCTCATCCATATTATACAGGCACCTGGTCGGTTGAAGGCAAAATGGGAGCTTTCCGTTTTTTTCGAATTTTCCAAACGGGAAGAAATTCCTCCCACAAATATGGAATCTACCTGTCCGGAATTGAGCTGTTTGGGGTACTTCTTAACATCTAGAAGCTTCCAGCCCTAGAGATCTTCATCTTTACAACTTTTAAATAGTAAAGGCCCAAGTAGTTCACTTAACTATCAGAAACCAACATATTGGTATCTAAAGCTACCAACAATTAAACTTTTAAATTAGATTCAGAGGGTTACACATCCCTTCAATGTAGAAACATTATAGGAGGATCTTAAAGTCATTTTTAGTCCTATTCTTGTCTTCGTACAGTCCTTGGCTCCATATTAGTTCTTTAACTTCCAACATCTGACTGTCACCTCTAGCTGCTACACATATGTCTTTCCATCAGTTAGAATATACGAGAATTAAGTGTTACATCAAGATAACAAGCTCTACCTGATAAGTTTGAGTATTCTCATTACCTGTTTTCGGGATAATATATAGATAACAGAGGGAGAAGTTACCTGTTAATCAGTTCCAGGAGTTAAGGGTTGATATCGGTGGCTGAAAGGAAAAGCCAATGCGAAGGCACTTTACATTCGGCCGAAAATCCTCGTTTTGAAATTACGTTTCTATGAAATTTTTCTGTTATATATTGATCCTCAGCACTTTTACGTTGAGCGCCGAAAATTCCTGTGATTGAGAAATGGTCCTGGATCAGCCTCTGCTAAAACCTTTAAGTTTTAGTCTGAAGACAAAATGTCCACTAAAGCGGTTAAAATTCATCCCTACTAAAAACATTTAATACTAATATATACTTGAACCGATGGGAACAGAGACATATGGGATATGTATACCTCTGAAAGTTGTCAATTATCTGCAGAAAATATCTGGTCAAAACGTACATACCACATCCATTTTAATCAGTTGGACTGCGAATTTTGGCTGATTGGAAAGTGCCTCTTTAGGTTTACAAGATATCGAGATCCATGGTTGTTGAAGCAATTTTTCTTCTTACAAATGCGATTGAAAGTAAATGTAACTGCAACCTTTTCTCAGGTCCATCCAATTAAAAATTAAGATTATTTTTTTCTGAATATCGATTGACATTACAATCAACAATGACGAAAATGGAATGTATTGTTAAAGTAGTAAACAAAGTTGAATTCCAGCAGACTTAGATCAATACGGCTTTGACAATGCACGCGGGCAAAGAAGCCCACAAAGCGAAATATTATGATGTTTTACTGTAATTTCCATTCTGGATAGGACTTAAGAACAAGATGTCGTGTGTAAGCACACGCGAGAAGCGAGGAAAAGGGCAAGTGTCTCCTCTTGCTCGTGTCTTTTCAACTTTTGAAGAAAGAGTTACGTTTGATAAAATAGAGTTTCGTTTGGAATGAGAGCCACTCTACCAACAAATCCGAATATAATAATAATATTTTAAAGGCCACAAGTTGCTTTTAAATTTGATGAATTCAATTCAATTACTGAGATGAAACGTTCTCTGAACGATATGCTTATTCAGTTGTTTTGATTACATTTCAAGTCAGGTGACTGACGCCAAGGAGATCCCATGATGCCTCAGTGATACCTTCGGTGCGGGAATTAAGCTATGCTCTCAGGGGTTTAGTCAGCGTCCTTCAACTTACCTCGATTTTTCATGCTTGTAATAATAATTTTCACGTCTACGTTTTGGCTCACTCATCACGAAACTTACTGGTGATCCTCGTTTCAGTTCGAGTTCATTTGGGTACAAGCAAAATACTTTCCCCGTGAATAGCAAATAGGAAAAAAGATGCTCGATAATAGCGTTTTTCAGAACGAAAAGTCTGCATTGGTCCGTATCATTTGATATCTTGTCTGTATAGAATATCTTTAGGCTACAGCGTCCGATAGAGTATATGATTGATTCATGTGACGGCCGTGCGCTCATCGATAAAATGAAATACTTTGGGAGTTTGGGGAGCAACTAAGAAGCTAGCCAGCGAGCAGTCACTCATTGTTAGCGTTATTACCGCACCCCGACCCAGGCTACCACTGGTGTCACTCCTGCAGTGTTTTTGTTTAAATGTACGGTCCATAACAAGCTTCCACAAGCTAAACACATAAACACAGTGTCTGAGACTGTTTTCAACCATGATACCTCACTGGAAGCCAAGATCAAAGTTCGTGTCGCGTTTATTAATTACGTTTGTCCATTTAAGCCATACTAAGTCATCTTTATTAGAGAACATAACTAGCAAAAGTGTTGCATGAAATGAAAGATTACAGAACCCTCACTGCTTGTGACGGAATTATCCATCTTCGCAAAAAAATTGCTTTTGAAGTGAGCCAAACTGCGACAACTGAATTTGCAGGCCTCTAACCTGCTTATAATTACATTAAATCTGAGATTGTTCAAAATGAGTTGTACGTGGAATCAGTTTGAGTGGTCGTGAGGAAACGTCACACGAATCATAACATCTTAGAGCTGGTGAAACGTGAGGAAATTGGCTTCCTTTCAAAAGGCGCATACTAAGAAACTATGAGTATATGCGACGAAAAACAATCGAGAGGCAAAAGGGATAAAGATGTACCGTCATGGCTACGATGAGTCCGAAAGACGCTAGTAGTTTTAGGCAATATCTGCATGAGGATCGATATTATCTATGGTCAGTAACAGAAAGCATGCAGGAAGTAACTATGTATTAACTAACAAAAAGCCGTGCACTTGCAACTGTGGAATGGATAATCAGGTAGCTTAGCACGTCGGAAATGTACTTAGCTTAAGTAAATTGTAACGAAGACAAGAACACTTTATCAGCATGCAAACAAGGAAAATCTATTATACTTTTATCGCAGAATGACTTGTCCTAGATAATTCAGTGTGTACTATGCCTGCTATTTTTACGGTAAAGGAAGCGATCGATTGAAATTCTGGCTAAGGATAAGGGAATAAAACTTGCAATGACTTGCGTGACGGAAACTTTTTTGTTTTGGTTTCAGGATTCCGCATGTGATTAATCACTTGACAATTCAATGAATTCCTTCGCATAGTTCCAAAGTCAGGTGAATATTGTCATTAACTTGCCATGAGAGAACACTGTTTAAAACAATTGAATTTATAACTAAATATGATGTACAATAATAAATATCAATATGACTAAATTAACTTCTGAAGTGTTTTCTGAATGTTTTCGATTTTTTTAATTTGAATTTTTGAATTTTGAAATTTGTTACTGTAATATCACCATAATTCTTATCGCCAAAGGTAATAAATAAAGGTATTATTATCATTATTATTATTATTATTATTATTATTACTATGGGTTTGCTTTATGACTGCATTATTTCGTCAGCGATACTGATATACCTATCGTAATTACAACTGAACAGCTTCTAGAATAAGTTGAAAAAAAGGCAATTAAAAATTTCTGCTTATCAATGCAAGGTTGGTGTTAAGTTTGCACGTATGAAAGGCCACCCCGCTTCAGAGATCCTCATCCATATTATACAGGCACCTGGTCGGTTGAAGGCAAAATGGGAGCTTTCCGTTTTTTTCGAATTTTCCAAACGGGAAGAAATTCCTCCCACAAATACGGAGCCTATTTGTTCAAAATTGATGGAGCTGTTCGGGGTACTTCTAAACATCTAGAAGCTTCCAGCCTTAGAGACTTTCATTTTTACGGCTTTTAGCGAAGACTGAACAGATTTACTAAACTTTCAGAGACCAGGATATTGGTCTACCTCCCAGCAAATTTCAATAACCATAATATATTAGAAAGAACTCGGCTAGTATCCATCCATTTTGACCTCCCTCTTAGTCAATAACGCATTATGACATGGGATCGCATTCAATGACACATCCAAAACCATCCGACCCAACCTTCCCCCCACTCCCCTCCCCCTCCCCTCATTCAATGAATAAAGACAGGTCCCTCACGGGCACCCAGTCTCTATATTGTTTGAGCTAGCATTGTTTGTGCTGTTCGGAGTCTTTTTCAATTATCAATCACTTTGTTCTCGTTTCGGCCATTATAGTTCTGAAAACCGTAGATAGTAATCAGAAAATACAAAAGTTTGTACTCAGTGAAAGGCGAATGCCATAAAGTTAAGTCCCCGAGAGTTAGTCTTAAACTCTAAGTCGAAATGTTAAATTCAAGTTTGGGCGCGAGTGAGTTTGAGAGCGAGTTAGGTCTGGAGGTTTTTACAACAATTCAGTTCAGGTCAGAGGCTCCTCGTTAAAATATATTCGGTTTTGTTTGATGGATTTTAATTTGATGAGCTTTATTTGGATCTGTTGTTCGACACTCACATCATTTTGGTCACGTCTGACTCTTCGATTAAACCTTGTTCTGTTGTATCGCCCTTGTTCAATTCTCGTGCTTAGCGTTTGCAACTTATCAACCTTAAGATTCATCTTTCACTGAATTCTTAAGGAGTACCATTCCTCGAATGGGCTGATCAATTTAAAGCTTCAACATAATCCCGCCCCCATCAACCCACGGGTATTTGACTGCTGTCTGTACCCAGGGGGCTGCCTGGCTGGGGTGGAAATCTCAATTGAATAGGTCAAGTCTTTCCGGAGTAATAAAAATGTAAGTTAGGGAGCGAATGGTTCTGAAGAATAGGTCTACAAAGTCTATGCTTTAAGCCTTGGTCAACGAGTAGTCACAGTCGCCGATTTTGCCTAATACAAAAAAAATGACCGTCAAATCCAGCACTTGAGTGGGACTTTTGAACACAATTTTGGCCCCAGGGGCGTGAAATTGAACGAACCAATCTTCAAAAGTTCAAATACCCAAAGGGTTGTTGAATCTTGCGATCTGATTTGCTCTGGCAGTGTGAATTATTTATGATTCGCACTATTTTTTACCCTAACTTGCATATTTTTCCCAGCCAATGAAAAAGCAACACGAAAATGAAAACAAGGCCAAACAGATTTCGAGGCTTTTCTTTAAGTAAAAAATTAAATTTCAGGAAAATGAAATATAAAGAAGCCGTACTTGTGATTTCAAATCGAACCTTCGCTGTGCACTTGTGCGAGTTTTGAAATCACTCCCCTGCCGATGATTTCACAACAAATTGCACTCCACTCCATTCAATTACCATCATGAACTAACTTCTAGTAATCGTTCTCACTAGATTTTCTTTTGCTAATAGAAACTTTTTGGTTAGAGAAGTTTTGGAAACTTTACGTTACATTTATTAGTCTTAAAATTGGTGACATCATAAGTGATTTCGTTTGTCTATTACGTAACCAAACCGCATGTATGCAGCACGTGTCTTATCGCCCCATATATGGTGCTGTTCCACGTGCTTACAATGAGACGTGGTGTGTGTTTTCGTGAGAGTTGTGAGTGGGAGTTAAATGAAGTGTAATAGCAAAATCGAGTCAAGAAAATAAGTCGTGACTACAGCTTTTTCACGTTTTCGACAGAAGTTTGAAGGAGATTTTTATTTATCCAGCGCTGGGACATATAAGATTCACTTTATCCGAAGTTACTATAGCGCATACCATTTGTAACGGGCGGAAATTCATGGTAGTTTCACTTTTGCTAGTGCTGTTGCATTGTTTCGTTTGTTTTACTTCTCCAATTTTAAGGAAGTGTTCACAACTACTGAGCGGGTTTTAGAAGCATTGCCCTTTTACAAACGTAACCTTGCAATATGTTTGATTTTGTATTGGCAGCATCTTTTCGTCTCCTGTAGTCGCTGAAGTTAAGTATAGGATGAGTGCTAACGCAGACTTTAGTGCCCAGAGATGAAACTACCTTAGCTAAAATTTCAATTCCACATCGTAGAGAGGGTCTTAACTAAAAAAAAGAAAATAATTCACCAGTCTATTTTTTTTTCAAATGACGTAGTCTAATAAAGTCTTTGAAATCAAGTAAAAACAAATAAGGAAGTATATTTCAAACTCGCTAAAAACTTATTCGAGGACTAACTAACAAAAGTGCAAGTAATGTTCGTGTCGGGTACTGCTACAAAAAAATCATCATTGTTAATTTGACCTGAATAATCATTTACAAATGATTGCGAGAAAACAAAGGAAACAATTCAAATAGCATCATACTAACTCTTAAGCAAAGGGATAGGGAATCCTTTAAATCATACCTCATTCTAAAAACACTCTGTCCACCTAATAGCGAATGTATCAATTACAATATGAAACCTGAAATATACACTTTGACACTATATCACGCAGCGGAAAACATGCAAAAAACCAGTCGACCATTATCACAGACGTTTGATATATCTGAACAAAACTGATTTTTTTAAAGACATTTCAGTTCTCGTTCTCAAAATAAAATTCCCTGCTTAACAATTCAGTCTTCCACCCTAGTTTTCCTTCGAGGATCGCGGGTGAAGCGCCGCGCTGCGTTTCCATGACTAAAACAATTGTGACGTTGAAATCGCAGCTGCCGAGGTAGCCATTGACATTGTTTAATGCTTCTTAACAGCTTTGTA